ACCTGACTTTCACGGCAAAGTTTTTATGGTTGATTGTCCGCCACTGCCTTTCCCCCACAATCGCCGATAATATCGTCACATGGGATCGAGCAGTACTGATGGCGGCGATGATAGCTGGGTTTGAGGTGAATTTCGCCTGGCTTCTACAGGCAGTCATGCACGAGAGGTCTTTTAAGGTCACAACTACTTACTCTTTCCCGTGCATGATCTTTTCTCTCTGTAGGTCCGCAGGTGTGACTATATGGCACGTTGATCAGCTCAAGACCCCACTGGGCACTTTTTATGTTGGCATCATCAGACATGAGGCCAATGAGTTGGCTCCACGCAGAGGGCCCTGTCCAGAGCTGCCCCCACTTGCTGACAATCTGGCTGATACGGTAGCCCAGGCCCGCATGGCTATGCAGGCGGCATCCACTGACACTACCCTGGTCGAGTCTATCCCGAGCAGTAGAACTCCCTCGAGCTCCTCTAACGCAGCCCCTCTACCCGCGCTGGTCGCGCTTGCTAGGGTCCAAAAATTAAAGGCGCAAATGGCTACACTTCTGCATCATATCAAGCTGTGGATGCAGAGGTCTATTACCGAGGAAGAAGAGCACTTGGAGTGGAAAATGGTCCAGCATACAGAGAGTAAGATCGATGAGGTTCACCAGTGCTTGGACACTTTTGTGTTGTGGGTTTTATCCCGCCAGCCCCTCCGGTGGATGTGTCAACTCTTCAGGCTGTGGTCAACATTCTTCGCAGATATTGACATGATCTTAGAGGCTAGGGTGCCTGAGTTTGATGGCCCTTCTGTCGAGTCTACTGAAGACACAATATTGGCGGCCCTATTCGCCACCTCGGAGATTCCACCACCTCCCCCTCAAGAGCATGGCAAGAGGCGTAGGGGTCGATCGGAGGATGAGGCACGAGCATGGAAGAAGGAGCGGTGTTAGATGGAGGCTGCGAGGAGAGCCTTGCTTGCTGAGGAGGAGGCGCACCAGATGAGAGCAGGAGATTTAGCGACTCGGGCGTCTACCTCTCGAACTGTTGAGATAGCGGGAGGCACTGCTGATAGTGTTGTTGTTGCCGAGGACACCATTGAGAGTGTCCAGATTACAGAGGAAGTGGGTTCCGTGGAACCGGACCCACCAGCTTGCTGATCGTCGGCACTTTGCGCCTCAGGTTTGCTTCACCTACCACTCTAGTATTTCAATTTTTTATGTATTGGGGACAATTGCATGACTTTTTGTTGGGGGTGGGGTAAATAGAGAGTGAGTGCTAGAATGAAGTCTTAGTAGCCCAATCCACTCTCCTCTTTTGGGGTTTTCTTGCCTGTGTTCTTTTTCCCCAAGAGACTGATTACTTTTTCTGTTGAACCGGCATGTCTATATCTTATGTACATAGTTTAATTCTGGAGCATGATGACTAAAATGATATCCTGATAAAATGGAAAATGATGCATGACTAGGCATAGAAATTGATAAATGTGTGACTCTAAGCATGACATAGAGGTACACCACCACATTACCGTAAGTCTAAAATTCGAACTAGGTGTCTGATAATCTAGTAGAGTGATGATATGTCAAGTGAGTGTGAGGAAGATTTGAATAGTCCACTATTTGTACTGAGCTAGAACTTGCTGGGTTAGTCCTGCTAAAAGTAAGTTGTAATAGACAATTAGGAAAGGATCATAGGCCCTTATTCAATGTAGCCCATTTTTAGCGTAAATAAAAGAAAACCAAATGAAATTTGTCCTTCTTTGATCAAAATGATCTGAGCTTAAATTAGACCTTTCTTTTTCACCCTAACTGATCTTTTATGGGAATAATGTGTTGGCCCTGGTCCCTCCTTGGACATGTGCACCTCAGCTTATGCCAAAAGCATAAGTTGAGGGTGGCTAATGAAGTAAACAACCTTCGTTATGGCCCTGACCCATCTTTAGGTATTGTGTACTTTGACTCATGGCTTTGTCATGAGTTGAGGGTGGCTATTATGAGGAATGCTCTGGAAAGTGGGGTTGAAAGAACAAAGAGAGAGAAAGAACAAAAGTAAAGTGACTCAAGAACTAGTTGAAATAAAAGTAAAGAAAAAGAAAAATATACAAGAAATACAAGCAAGAAAAGAAGAGAGTCACTTACACAAATGAAGAAAGAAGAGAACAGCAAGGTTAAAGAATATGAGAAACTGGTCGAGATAAAATGATAGAAAATGGTATGTTTAGCCGATATGTCAAGGAGGTCAAAAAGTCACTAAAGTATACCTAAATATACCTTACCTGACCCTGAGCCGATATTACAAGCTAAGAAAGTCCTATCGTGATCCTAAGGGTTGTATAGCGAACTTAAGGCAGTGAAAATAAGGGCAAGCTTATGGCAATATGTATGAATGAGCCTGAATTTGTTCTGAGAGCGAGTGTTGAAAAGTAATCCTGATAGTCAAAGTGAAAACATTGTGTGAAAATGAGGATTTTATTTGAAAGTGAGGACACTAGTTGCAATACCGGAAATATTAGCACCTCGGTGATAAATAGAAGAGGGTAGGTGTTAGTACTTGGTTAGTATGTGTCAAGCTCTGATCCCACATAATTCAAGCCTAATAGTGATAGCAGGCATAAATATGATGAGATTAATCGATACCGATACTCAAATGATTGCAAAGGATAAAACATGGATACTATTGTACAAATATTTTGAATTGAGTCATAGTGCTTCGCTTGAGGACAAACAACGAATTTAAGTTCAGGGTGTTGTTATACCGTGGTTTCACGGTGTTATTAATACTTTTTCCTTAAGTTTAGTGTGTCCAAAAGCCTTTTTGTAATAATTTTTATATAAGTTTCTCTTTATTTTCAGTAAATCTGTCAAAAGATGAATGCAGAGATTTTGAGAGAAGAAATGCAGAAGAGACCACCTACGGAGCTTGTGACGGTCCGTCATGCTTGTGACGGTCCGTAGGTGGCAGCGTAGTCCAGCTGCTGAAGAAAGATGGGGAAGTCTGACCAAGTGTGGGGTTACGGAGTCTATGACGGTCCGTCGTGTCTATGACTGTCCGTCCTCCATGTTCGTCATGAAGTTCAGAGAAGTAACCCAAATACCCATATTCCAAGAGTTTAAGTGTTTTGGAATGAAGACCCTTGACGGACCTGTATGTCTCTGACGATCCGTCGTACTTTCCGTTGATGGTATTTAAGAGAGCAGCAGAAGAAATTGCACAAGAATGGGAAGATGGAGTCCATGGCGGTCCGTCGTGACCACGACGATCCGTCGCAAGGTCTGTCGACCCAGCCGCGTTTTGACAAATTTCCAGCAGATAGAGTCCTTGTTTAATTAGGTTTTTATTTTCTATAAATAGTTCGAAAAACCTCATTTTTGAGGTTAGACTCTGTATTATTAGTGAGACACAGTATTATTAGTTAGACTCTGGATTATTTGGTTAGGCTTTTGATTATCAAGCAAACTTTCGTATTTTACTCTTTCTCATTGAAGTAAGTATATGAATTCTTATATAATATATTTGAATATTTTGATTATGACTATAGGTAACTAAACTCCATAACTAGGGTTGTGGGAACCATAGGCAAATAATGAGGTAAAACCTAACTAAAATAACCATTCTAAAATTGTGTCTTGCATGTATTATTAATTCTTTCTCTTAGAAGTCTTTTTAATAGATGGCCAACAGTAGAACTCGCCTTAATGCTACTTGCCGGACCTAGGAGGTAGATAATAGGAAAAGAATTATCAACATAGATTTAGTGTATACTATCTAATAGGCTAGTATTGATTGGTACGAGGTAATAAATTAGTCAAATATCGAATACGATGCTTAATATGAGGTAAAGATAAGGGTTAGGATAGTAACACACGTAGCCGGACCAAGGTACGGAATGAAATTTTCTAGATGCCGGACCAAGGATTTAAAAATACATAACTTATCACTTTGCATGCAAGATAGTAGGAAAGAATTGTTATAGTTAGAATTATCAAGTTATGAACCCGTGGGGAACAAGTAAACCCTAGTTACTTTGATTAATTGATTAAACTCCAATATTCAAAGCTGTTAAGTGTCTCTTTCAATTTCGTTAGTTATTTTCATTCATTTAGAAATAGAGACCCCCCTTTTATTGTTTTTGCTTTCCAAGGAAGTAATTGACCGAACAATATTAATAATAGGTTAAAGTTAAGTATAAACTATTTTCCTCGTGGGAACGATCCCAACCTCACTAGTTGGGTTATTTACTTGACATGACCACTTTACTTTTTATTTGAGAAGTAAGTTTGAGCGTATCACAATGTACACGAAACATGGCATTGGCTTGTTGACCTCGCTTCGATTTGGCTTGATAATCTATGATAGACTCATTCTCCTAGTCGTGCGAGGCGGTGACAGTAATGGGTGCTCGTTGTGATCGGTTCCGGCTAGGATCCTCCTGGTCCTCACAGTTTGGCTTGATAACGCTAACATGAAACACCGGATGGATCTTTATGTGTGGAGGTTACTCTATCTTGTACGAGATCTTCCCCACTTTAGAAATGATCTTGAACGGACCGTCATATTGGTGCACTATGTTATGATGGACGCCTCTTAGTGCCTTGAACTGTGTTGGACTGAATTTCACTAAGACCATGTCTCCTTCTTTATAATCCGTGGGACGATGCTTGCGGTCGGCTAACTTCTTCATATTTTTGGATGCCTTGTCCAAGTAGGACTTAACAGTTTCAAGTTGCTCCTCCCATACCTTGGCAAGATGGGAGGCACCCAAACTCTTACCCTCAAAAGAAACTTGAAATGAATGTAGGGTTTGGGGTTGTTGGCCTCTCACCAACTCCAATGGTGTGCGCCCAGTGGACTCGCTCCTTTGAAAATTATAATAAAACTGTGCCATGTCTAGGAGTTTGGCCCAATCCTTCTGATGCGCACTAACATAGTGCCTTAGATAACACTCCAATAGTAGAGAAGTGTTGCTCCATGAAAGGTATCTCAAACAACTCTCTCCATAAGTTCCCTGTAAAGCGGGGGTCTCAGTCGCTAATGATATGCCTCGACAACTCCCAATATTTCACCAGATTCTTGAAAAATAATCGAGCAGCTTTCTTTGCGGTGAAACCGGCTGTGAAGAGCATGAAGGTAGCATACTTTGAGAACCTCTCCACCATGACCATGATCGTACCAAACCCGTCGAACTTCGAAAAGGAACCATCCCCGTTGCCTTTGCCCCATCTTGTCTTGTTGGCACACAAAACAAGTCTACACATAGCACTCAATGTCATCCTACATGTGTGGACAAAAATAAAAAGCCTGGATTAGCGCCCTCGTACGTCATTGTCCGCATACCCAACACATGGTGTGTTGTGGCTTTTCTTAATGATACGCCGCCTGATGGACCCAAACTTGGGTACATAGACCCTTTGACCCATAGAGAGCAAAATGTTATATTCTACCCAAAAACATCTGGTTTTGCCTTGGGTAACTAATTCCATCATCTTCTTGGCTTCTGGATCTTGTTGCATATCATCCTTGATTTCATCTTGAATGTCACAGTGAGCTGTAGTGATGGATAAAAGCGCAGCCTTCTTTCTTAGTGTGTCGGCCATGATATTGCCTCTTCCTGGCTTGTAATCCAAAACATATTCAAATTTTGCCAGATAGTCTTGCCATCTAGTTTGGTTCAGGGTGATCTTCTTTTGTGTCAGGAAGTATCTAGTGTCCACGTTATCGGTCTTGACAATGAACTTGAAGCCTAGTACGTAGTGTCTTTACGTGCGTAGGCAATGCACGGTGGCCGTCATTTCCTTCTCTTGCACCGTGTACCACAGTTCAGCCTCATTTAGTGCAGTTCTTGGATGGTATTGGATGTCTATCTTGCATTAAGAATCCTACAATTGAAAATTATGGGGCATCCGTATGTATTTCAAATGTCTTGGGGAAGTCGGGGAGTGTCAAGACTGACTCTTTCATTAGTGCTGCCTTGAGACCTTCGAACCCTTTTTCGCACTCGTCGCTCCATACCCACGACTTATTCTTCTTAAACAATTTAGTCAGTGGAGCGTCTTTAGCGGAGTAGCCACTAATGAGCCTGCGATAGTAGTTTGCAGGTCCAAGGAAGGATCGTAGCTCGGTCACCTTCGTGGGCGCCTCCCTCTCACGGATCGCCCGAATCTTCGTCTTGTCTATCCATAGTTCGCCCTAGCTGATGACATTGCCTAAGAAGTGCACCTCGTGCTGGGCAAACCGGAACTTCTCCCGCATGACGTAGATCTGGTTCTCCCCTAAGACTTGGAAGACTTTTCTCAAGTGCTCCACGTGTTCCTCTAATGTGTTGCTATAGATTACTATGTCATCCAAGTACACAACCACAAACTAATCCAAGTAGAGATGAAAAATCTTGTTCATTAGCATGCAAAAGGTGGCAGGTGCGTTAATTAAGACGAATGACATCACCAACCACTCGTATGCTCCATATCTGGTCAAAAACGCTATCTTCGGCTCGTCCCCCTCCGCGATGCACACTTGGTAGTAGCCTTTCCAGAGATCCATCTTTGTGAAGTATTTGGCATGCCCAAGTCTATCAAACAAGTCTGCAATTAGTGGGATAGGATATTTGTTCTTTATTATTACCCTATTAAGCGCCCGACAGTCGCTGCATAGACACAACATCCTTCTTCTTCTGGAACAGCAATGGCGCACCATAAGGTGCCTTGGATGGACGGATGTGATCGTCCTCGAGGAGCTCCTTTAACGAATTTTCTTAGATCCTCTAAATCGGGTGGTGCCATACGGTAATGTACATGTGCGGGTGTCTTGGATCCAATCTCAAACTTTATGTTGTGTTCTACCTCGCGCCTAGGAGGTAGAGTCTTCGACAGCTCGTCCGACATCACGTCCTTGTTCTCTTCAAGGACTTTATCTATGATCGGTGGCAAGGACTCCATGGTACCATTGTCTTATCCCAAACTTGCAATGGTGGCCAGTAATGTTGGTTCTCCTTTATTTAGGCCCTTCACAATCTGCATGGCCGATAAGTGTGAGTGTCCTTCCTTTTTTGGCAACTTGACTAGAGGTACCATGGATGACCATTCCCGCTCCAAGACCATGAGTTGTTAGAGGTAGGGGTCGATCATCGTGTGGCAGCGTTGGAAGAACTCTTTCCCAAGGATGATGTTAAATATATCTAGAGGAGCAATGGTGAAGTTTGTCTTTCCTTTCCACTTCCCTTACATGATGCTCATTCCTTAGGAGACCCTACACACGGGAGTCGGTGGGGCGTTAACAATCTTAAGACGGGTGTTGCTTGGCACATCGTTCAACCCTAGCCTCTCTGCTGCCGTATTGGTCATGATATTTTCTTTGGCCTTAGAGTTTACCATGGAACGAGCTGGTCATCCATTTATAGAGATGTCTACATACTGGGTGCTGAAGTCTCCTGGATTTTTCGGTCTGCTTGGCAATAGCAATGCACAATCCAACCATGCCCAATCGCTTCATGCCCGCGTCCTTCCCTTGCTCTTGTGAGTATTTTTCCTTTCGTTCACGTAGGATGGCACCAAGGTTCTTCATCTTGGGGCACTTGTCTTAACCGTGCGGTCCACCACATATGTAGCGTCCATATCCTTTGTTGGTCTGCACCCGCTTCTCCGTGTAATTCTGGCGCACGAACCGCTTACTGTCTGGCTTGTGGGGGTCGTGCTTCTTGGGGTATGCCTGTTGCTGTTTGGCTCAGCTACGATCTCCGCCACCTCTTGCATGGCTAATTATTGTATCCTTTCCCTTCACCTTGTCATGCCGTTAATGCTTAAAGTCAGTCAAGGACTCAGCGTGTGTGATGGATTCATCTATGGTCTTGAACTATCGCCGCTCCAACTCTATCTTGGCCCAATTCTATAGTCCATCCATTAAGTGTAATATTATGTCCTCGTCAGTGAGTTTGGGAATTTGAAGCGTTAGAGTGGTGAACTCCTTCATGTACGCCCGAATGCTCCATGGTTGCTTCATTCTCGAAACTTGCGCTTAACCTCGTACACAACGTTGTTTGGGAAGAAGGCTTTCTTGAATTCTTCAAGGAATTGTTCCCACGCGTTGATGGTGCACATCCCCTTCCTGATCTCAACCTCTTTGCTTTTCAACCATAGTATAGTCATCTTGGACAAGTACACCATGACAGTCTTGATCTTATTGTCGTTGCTTCTCACCCGACTACACTAGAAGTAATTCTCCAATTGCCATAGAAAGTTTTCCACCTCTTGAGCATCACATACGCCCTTGAATATGGGTGTCTTGAGATCCTCGACCCTGGTCTCCCTATCATGGTTGGGTGATGTATATCCTCCAACCTCCACACCTTCGTTGGATGTTTTCACTCGTTCTTCAGCGTTTCAATCGTGCTAAAAGAGTCCATAAGCCGTCACTCTAAGGAAGTGATGACCTCCTTCATTTGAAACTCAGCCCGCTTGTGACCCTCCAACTCCTTACGGATGTTCTCGGTCTCCTCAAGGGTAAAGTCCTCAAGGGTCTTGAACTTGTCATCTTCCACATTCATGCACCTACCTAATATCTCTTCGGCCATCCTTGCAACTTCCACCCTTGTGACCTATTTTTTTCCTATGGTGATGTCTATGGATTCTTCACCCAATTCATCGTCACTTGCTTCGACACTCAAGGGTTGATGAGATGTTAGCGCCTCGCTAGGTGTGAGATCGGGCAACATCTCTTCATTACCCTTTTGATGTATGTTCCCCTTTGGATTCTTCTTTCCATAATCCATATGCATGTTTGTGGTGCAAGGGTCGTTTAAATATCCTTCGGTATCCATTCCCTTACTATCAAACCTGGCTCTAATACCACGTTGTCACGAACTCAGAGTATTTGCGAAAGTTCTGTGTGGCCCTCAACGACTTACACACTAATATTTCAAGGTCTTATAAGCTCAAGGAAGACTTGAAGATTTATATTTCTAAGAGAATGCTTGAAAAAGAACTTAGAAAGAACAAAAGAGAACTTTGGAAGAAGGCTTTGGATCATGCTTGGAGAATGCTTACAACTTGTTTGGTGCCTTTTCAAATGAGGGGCACCTCTATTTATACTACTTCCTAGGTACTAAAGTGCAATTAATATTTACTTTAAAAGTCCCTAAAATATTTACACTTTGGTGTCTTTCTAGAAAATTCTACAATGCTTTGGGACCTTTCCTAGCCTTCTCTGCACAACTCTAGAACGTTTTTCCCCTATCCGGACGCGGGATCTGGCTCGAATTGTGGTGGGACGTCACACAAGGGTCCCATACTCGGGTGAGTTGATTCTTGCTTTTGAAAATTTATACATTTCATTCAGGATTCTTGTCTGTGCGTATGTGCATATTTAATGAAAGTTGTAATTGCTAAATTCATTTAGAAGATTCACGGTACAAAATGCCGAACGAGAATTCTTACTCTTATGTTTCATGGTAAGTGAGGAAATAGAAACCATGAGAAACGTTGAAGTTAGATTGTTTATCTATTAATTTAAATTGTAAAATTTTCTTCGTTTTTTTCTCTTTCAAATATGACTTTTATTCTATTAAGTGAAGGTTCTTAAGAAAATTTGTGCATCAAGCTATGTTTATAATTTCTTCATACATTACATATAATTAAATAGAATATGCATATTTGAATTTTTATCCTAGATAAGACTGCATTTCATTTATTCTATTCCCTTTTTCACAGGTGTTCTGCAAGATTGTCTCATCTGCAATGTCGATTATATGAAGACCAAAGCACTATCACATACCCGTTTGTAGATGAGCCTTTTAGAATATTATCAATAAATATTACATGGATACAAGCTTTGTTTTATTCGCCAACTATTTGATCTACATGGAATAGTACCAGTGTACTAACAAATTTTTTTTCAATCGACGTTTTTTTTTGTTAAATTGATCATATTTTCATGTCAATATTTGTACCGTGCTAAGCATTATATATATATATATATATATATATATATATATATATTAGAGCACGTTACTACGAACCACAGTGTCGGGGCTTTGAATTCCTCCTCGCCCACAACCGGCCCAAAAGGGAAGTACCTTTCTCTCTAGGGTAGGAAAATCATGATCAGGATAGCGAACCAAAAGCTATGGAACTTGGGCATGGGTCTTTTGTAGAAATAGAATAGATTTTTATCTTTTTATTTATCGTGAATGGGGTAATCATTACACATAGTATGCCCGATCGGCATATTTTTTTGTTTTACGCCCCGTAACTTTTCCTCAGCAAGGCTTGGGAAGAACAGCTGAGAAATTATTAGTAGCATAACAAAAAAGCCTTCCTCGTCATTAATATCTTTGCTCGCGGCAATTGTGACTTCTTGGGAGAATCGATGACGGCATCAAAGATGCAGTGCTAGTACATCTGAGACTTCTTAATTCACTAGGTTTAAATAGCCTCAGGGATGTGGAAAAAAGGTTTATCTCGGACCTAGACCAGGGTATTGATGGTGATTTTCTAATCTCTCTCTCTCTCTCTCTCTCTCTATATATATATATATATATATATATATATATATATATATATGAGATTGTTTTAGGATTGCCACTTAGGAGTTTGTTACCTTGTAATGAAGTATTTTTTAATCTTAGAACTAATTAGAAGTTAAAGCTTAGAACTTCATTTCATAAACTTGATTTATAGGACCTGTATTGTGGGATGTTTGAACTTGAACTTAGATTTTTTTTAAATAATGCCCCATTTTATGAGAAAAAAACTTTCCTTTCCTATTGTCTAAGTTTTCACATAATTTCATATTAAGGTCAACTTCAAAGGATCATATATCTCGGTATATAATGAATTAGGTGGCCCATGACCTTTAATATTAAAAGTCTATGAGTCTTTTTTCAACTCCATCAAGTTTTCCACATTTCGAGTTTAAAATAAAACAATAAATTGTAATAACCATTTGACCAGAGACTACAACAACAGAGTTTTGAAAGTCAGTAACTATGAACTTAATCTACGTGTCGTAGATTAAACTACGAACCATACTATTTACTTGTGGAAAAAACATTTCAAATTAATTTTTTGGGTCTCATTCTTAAAAACCTTGTTACGGGTCATAAAAGCATCTACGTGACATAATTTGGGCTGTACAATGAAGTTCTATATCTTTTTTTTGAGATTGATTTCCATATATTTGATTATTGGTAGTAAACCCAATTGTGGGATATAATTTTAGTCCACATAAATAATTTCAAAACTTCAAAGTTTCACTCTAACTTCCATAAAGGGAATCTATTCCTCGTACATCAAAAAAACAAACCATAGATTGCCTCGTGGAAGGTTTTTGAAAACATTTCAATTGGACTTTATTTTGTCTTTTTCAACATTTCCTAACTCTAAGCCATTACAATAAACATATCCTAAAATATTTTCACGCTAAAGACTCAATTCCTAAACTCTTAACTCCATAAAACTCATAAACCAATGTAATCAAGGATGTATGTAAGCCTTCAATGAGAGTAGCCCTTCACTCTCATGCCTAAAGTATTTTCATTCTCAAAGATTTCACAAGATTGTTAGGAGTAAAGCTAAGATATGATTTTTATTCAATACGCTACATTTTTATTGTTTCATTTTTGGTGCCGATTTAGCATTATTTTCAAATCATTCATACCCGTAAAAATTTTAAGTATGAAAAAAGCATAATATGAATTACAACCTATATATAGGTTATTTTATTATATGAATTTTGAGCTTAGCCTCATATATTATTCAAGATGATAATTTGTCTTACTACTTAATAGCTTGATATGAATAGTTTTTATTTGGGTGGAAAATTAAGTACTGAGAGGACTAAAGTTTAGAAAACTCAAGTTTCATAACTATGGACCAAATAGTATTAAGTTTCACCACTTAGTTAGTTATTGAACTAGATATGATAAATTTATACTCTAACAAAG